ATAGCGCAATCGCTAGCCAATGTCTTCGGCGGGTATTTGTTCTCACACCCGACCTGCTGTACCCTACTGGTCACGACTTCCCACTGGAAACCCAGGTAACTACCTACCTGAATAGGGCAAGTCGCTAGTGAGCATCTCATTGATATTCAAGCATTGGTTTGTAGGGATTTTGTTAATTGCTTACAGGATTTATTCATCAGCTGACATTGGTTAGAGAACCATTGGAAAACCTGCGACTAGTTGTATTCAAGTAGGTAGTTACCTGGGGTTGTAGTGGGAAGTCGTGACCAGTAGGGTGCAGCAGGTCGGGTGTGAGAACAAATACCCGCCGAAGACATTGGCTAGCGGTTGCGCTATATTGTGAATTGGCAGAAGTTAGAATTCATGGACTGGTCATTGGATCGGATCGCAGTGGCTCAATGGTCTACGAGCTCGCCTTGTAACTAGAAGGTCCTGGTTTCGACCCCCGGTGGGTGCGTACTAATGAAGAGTCCCAAACTAGGACAGGTGAAACGGCTGTCCAGTACACCCAGGTTTTCCAATTGTTTCCTAACCAATGTCAGCTCATGATGAAAATCCTGTAACTTACACTGTTTATCTAATCGATAATTTATTTGATTATTTCTCTTTATTTTTTAAAAATAAGAACTGACTTTTTCAAATGATTATAATGTCAAGGATTTATTAAGGTATCTGATCTATCTAGGTTAATAATTGAAATGCATACTCCTTTATCTACCATATATATATATATATATATATATTATACAACGAATCGGATTCATATTTTTGCATAGTTGATGAAAAGTGATCATATGGCTTACAGCTTTATGCTATTTAATTACGACTGGTGGTGAGCAGTGGAATTTAACAAAAAGTTCATTTCTTCTTGAACCACCTGTCTGCATGCTTTGTGTGCGTGTGCGTGTATTTGTGTGTGTTTGTGATGGTTCCCCCTCCCTCGCCCTTCCAAGCATCCATCAATTTAAACATCGGTAAAGCGTTTCTTTTCCAACTTAGTCAAAAGTGCATATCTTATGTACTCGAAGTGTCAGGTGTTATATTTGTTTCCTGGTGTGATTGACTTTTAATCAGCTGAAATCCTCGGCTTGCTTACCAATAATTCTTGTAGAGATAAGTGGGGTTCTCGGCTGAATTAAACTTTAAGCATCACCAACTGCCAATCAGTGAATGACCTTGAATGGTCCATTTAGTTTCATCCATGTGAGTTGTGAAGGTTCTATTCGGCTTGATTCGAGTCAAATGTCTGCTCTATTGGAGTCGCGCTTGCAGTTTGGTGAAGATAACGTTTTCCAGTATTACTTGGATGTAAGGTTACTTGGAAAGGAAAGGATTTGTTTATGTGGAGGTGTCATGAGTATAAAATGCTTCAGTAGGTTGATTGATGGATATGTCCATCGTTGTGCAATTTGTTTGAGACCAGTTAGTTGCACTAATCAAGGCACTCTATTCAAACTCACGTAGTCGTGTAAGGGCTTATGGGGAATTGTCATCTGAATTGGTAACAACCAGTGGTGTCCGACAGGGATGTCCACTTTCCCCATTTCTGTTTAACTTCATCATAGATATGCTGATGGAAGTATCCTTAACTGAACGTAATGACTTAGGAATCGACTTGTTACCAGGGTATAGTCTTATGGACTTAGAATACGCAGATGACATAGTCCTGTTAGGGGAGGATGCTGACAAAATGCAGAGTCTTCTGAACACCTTGAGCAGCAATCTTCGTATGTTTGGCATGCGATTCGCCCCTACAAAATGCAAGATGCTGCTACAGGACTGGACCACGTCAACTCCTAACTTAGTGATAGGGAGTGAAGTGATAGAACATGTTGACCACTTCACCTATTTGGGAAGTTGTATTAGCACCAACGGACTGATTGGCGACGAAATCTCAGCACGGATCCGAAAAGCTCGAGCTGCTTTCGCTGACTTACACCATCTCTGGCGTAGGCGTGACATCCGGTTATCAACCAAGGGACGTGTGTACTGCTCATCAGTTCGCTCCGTCCTTCTCTATGGCTCTGAAACATGGCCAATACGCGTTGAAGACATGAAAAGGTTGACTGCTTTCGGTCATAGATGTCTGCGATCTCTGTCTCACGTTAGGTGGTATAATAAGGTAAGTAATGTTGACGTTAGGCGTAGAGTGTTGGGCAAAGAGGGAAAATCAATCAACGAGGCTATAAAGTTACATAGACTAAGATGGCTAGGTCACGTGGTGCGCATGCCTAACCATCGCCTCCCCCGACGGGCATTACTAGCTGATATAGGTTCAGGTTGGAAAAGAGCCAGTGGTGGCCAAACAAAAACATGGCCTCATCAATCCATGAAATCCTTGACAGTTAAACTGAGTCAGGGAGGGAGATGCAGACTCCCGGGTTGAGGCCCTCGGGACTCTAGGAATTAATGGCTGGAGACAATAGGTGACATGGCTCAAAATCGTTGTCATTGGCTCAGATGTATTCAGTCTCTCTAATCTTTCATATTTCTTTCTACCATTACCCATTCTGTTTCACTCTTATACTTGTCAGACTGTATTGATTCTCTTCACTCATCTTCTTGTCTACCTCTGTGTGATATTCGGAACGTGGCAACTGGAACTGGTGCACTTCGGTGCCAAGTTCTATGTTGAATCCAGATAGACAGACATCACGGAAAGTAAGCTGATGATCCCAGTATTTCGTAGGAACATTTTTGCCCGGTTCCATCTGTCGTTAACCCAGATTTTGTATATTTGTAATTACTGAGTTTTAAAGTAACCTGAAACTGAAAATAGTCTCGTATCAATAGTTCAGTGGTATCTGCACTACAGAGACATCACGTCATGAAAAAGTCAGAGGATTACTGCGTTATTAGGTGGATGAAACTGTCACATTGAAGAAAAAAATGCAACCGTGGTCGTGAACGAGCAAACTATGTTTGGGTGATTGGCTTATATGACACCTCTCTACAGAAAGGATTCGTTGAGAGAATAGCAGACACAAAGTCATCTACCTTAGCACCTATTATCACTCGACTTGTGAAACAAGGATCTATAATACACACCGATGAGTGGGAATGTTATACATCCCTGTTATCCATTGGATGTATTCATCAGAGAGTGAACCATTCTAATGATTTTGTGGACTCTATTACAGAAACACACACGTATTCAATAGAAGGCTTTTAGGAAAGGTTTAAAAACAGAACTAGGACTATAAATGCATCTCAAAAGGATATCATTTATAATTATATGTACAGAATGGGGTATAACTTTTCAGTTGTTACTCCTATGCCAAACCGGGAGATGTTTTTATTATATATCAGAGAAAATTACCCTATGTAACAATTTTATGCATTTCTTTCATAAATATATGTTTTCCATAACCAGAAATTTTTCTTTCATGTGATTGGTTCCTTCAGAGTCATTCAGCGGATTGATAATTAGTGGTGCTTAAGAAAAGTTTAACTTTGCCGGGTTCTCATCTTCAAGCGTAAATTGTCAGTATTACCAAAGCGCATTCTGGTAGTGTAAGTCTGTTGGCTAGAGAGGTAATACAAAAGGATACCATGTATTAAGCGTTGTGCCAAGCTAACAGTTAGCTCTCAGTAAATGGGTTCAAAATACGATGATTCATCTATCATTCCACGACATTGTATTTATGGTGTTCTCCAGTGTATATCGGGGTTTTGAAATTGAACTCATAACATTAGTCACCTGCCCACCTATTGTCAGTGTAATGTATACTCCACTCTCTCTCTCTCTGTTATAATTAGATAACCTGATTGTGTTGCCAATGTCGTCATCATTGCTGAATATTCGTATAGAAAATCAAAATAAGTGATTCAGCAAAGAAACTCTTTTCAACGAATTTATTGTCAAGATGTACAATCGTATATATATGGTTTTTAAGAAGTTATATCCGGTGAGGGAATTGAATCATAGGTGTGAATGCATGGTTACGAAGAGGTGGAGCAATAAGAAGCACGATCAGTGAACATCTGGTCGATAATGATCACCCTATCTCTATAGCCTCCGCCTTTTTTAAAGTCATCTACAAGGCAAAAAGTAATTTACCGAAATCACTACTTACCTGACTCATCCGTATCGCTGAAGCCATCTTTGGCTATTGAAACAGAAAAGTCAGATCTCTGTGTACAGAAAAAGTTCGTTCAACCCTCCAACTTTCATAGTCTTAATCCCTCTATACTAAAGTATGGTAATCCCCAATCATATTTCAGCTCTACCAATTTTTCATTTTTCTTTTTGTCTAATCAATTTGTATTCTCTTGCTTTATTACGTCAATTGTTACTATTACTGTTCTCATTTGGAACTGTCCCAGGTATTATTTCACTTGTTCCACTTGTCATTCTAAATGAATTCTGTTTTGCAACATTAAATTCTATGTTATCAAATTTCACACAATATTACGTAACGTTTTTATTTTATTCGATTTGTCTATTAATCCTATAATTGCACACCCTTTGTCAAGCTCTATCCATCCTATGAATTATTCTATATATGACATTAATCTGCTTTGCCATTTGACATTTAACTATGATTATAATCACAAACATTTTAGTTTTAATTGAACTTCATATTATTATTATTATTATTTTATGCATTCACACCTATGATTCAATTCCCTCACCGGATATAACTTCTTAAAAACCATGTATATGCGATTGTACAGCTTGATGATAAATTCATTGTTGAAAAGAGTTTCTTTGCTGAATCGCTTGTTTTGTATATTCATATGTCTAGTTTTATTTTTTCTCCATTAGGATAACACAGTTCATTTTTAATGAGAATCTTTCTACAGGAACTTTTTAACTCAATTTATTCTCAGTGTGTTTCTTTTCGAAATAATCATGGTGTGTTTTCGAATTGTCAATAACCGCCATTGGTAAAGACATGAGTTCGATTCATATTTTCAACTTAATAATGGTTTCTTTTAAATCTTATAATTTTCATTATTATTATTATTAATTTCAGAAGAATCCAGTCAAGACAATACACCCCAATACAATGGAGTCAGGCGTACCAGTGGAATCTCTTGGCTGAAACAAAGGTTGGTATTCATACACATGTCTTAATTTATTTCAATTAGTTGTGTAAAATCATGCATGACACAGTAGCATTATCTATCTCTGTTATTTTATTGCCTAAGATTGTGTATCTCATCATTTGTGATCCACATTGTTTTCTATCGTCTATTCGATCGAGCCTAATTAGTTTGAGGCGCAAGTTTCATCAATGGAAACCAAATAGAGAACTGTTGAGCAGCAGCAGCAGTTGTCTTGATATTGTTGTTGTTTTTTTTCAATTTCATCAACATTACTCAGCCACAACCTCGTGAAGGTGTCAGACATTAAACTATCAAAATTACTGCATCAAGACACTCCCATTCCTTAAATAATGTCGAATTGGGTTAAAATCTACACTGAAACTAGTTAAGTTCTCATAATCTCAACGTCTGGAAAGGTGAATACGTGTATCTGCAAGTTCTATAAATTTCTTCGTTATTTTGATCGTCACACGTGTATATCAAAGCTGGCTTTTATTCTTTTTCTCATCCTATCGATGATATGAAACATACTTCCCTGAAGTTCAATTACCCTCGCCCCCCTCCTCTCCCGAAGAATAATAACATGTATAACCAGAATTCGTTTGTAGTCGGTCATCCTATCGGTCACATGACAGCAAATTTTTTTATCGATTAGCTAGTTAGTATCTGCGCTTGTTTTTTTTTACTTCGTTTTCTTGTCTGATTCTGTTTTTTTTGCATATAAGTTAAAGCGAACATGTCACAGGCTAGGAGAAAAAAAGTCGATTCCTGTCAACATAATGAAACAAGCGGAAAAGTATTCAAACTTTTTACTCACTATTGTTGTTTTCACTGTTAATCTCAACAGTTGGCATATGTAGTACCAACCTTCTACACATGCCTTTTCTTCTGACGGAACACGGATGATATGGAATCTCGAAGAAGTATGTGTAAGCCTTTCTAGAATAGTTGAAGTATATGTGATTAGGACTTGTCTGTTCATTATAGTAGGTAGCTTGGCTGTCAAAGGTTGGGTGTACAATGCTTCGGTGCGGGCTGTCTTGCTCTACAACGCCTGTGAAACATTGCCCCTCTGGCCTACGGTGGCTTTGCCTATTCGATCATCGCTGTCTCCTCAGGATTGCTTGCTTTCGACGGCATTATAGCACGAGTAATTCTGAGGTCTGGCAGCATGTGTTTGAACACAGTCGAACTCACCATTTGTTGAGTGTCATCATCTGGAAACACCGGCTTCGGTAGCTGGGATATGCGCTACAAATGTCATCCCAGAGGCTTCTGTATCGGTTTCTGTTTGCTAGCCCTGGGACAAGAAGAAAAAAGCGAAGAGGTGATCAGCCCATGACGTGGAGTCATAAGGTTGATGCCTCACAACTCCCTGGTTCTGTAGTATAGATAGATAGCCTGAATCGGTGGCTAGGAACGTTATCGGATATGTCCAAGAATCGCAATCAACGGTGAACATACTTCAATTTTTCTCCTTTCTTCCCTTCCTGACGATAATTGATGAATGATGTTTGAACTTGTTAAGCATGACTGTTTTCCTTCCATATGAATTTCTTTATCTGTTCTCCATCTATATTTTTACTTTTAATCTATGTTATTTTATTATTATTATTCTTGGTGCCATTTGTGTTTAAATAAATAAATAAATCATTATAGTCTACAAAGTCAAATAGGAAATTTCTGAAGCCTGACCAATCGAATGAAAACATGACTATACTAGTTGATGTAGTGTCTACCTGTTAGTGTGAACTTTATAATCGTCCTGATTGTTGTTGTAAGTACTAATTCGATATTATGCAAACCGAACGATCTAACAGAAAAAGAAGATAAAATTAATACCATTTACAAAATAAATTGTATGAACTGTAACAAGCATTACATCAGCCAAAGTGGGCGTCCTCTTCGAATCAGAATCCAAGATCACAAATCAACTGTGAAAAGACACGATATATATTCTTTCATATCAATACACATAGACAACTATGGACATCAATTTGATTGGGATAATATCGAAATTTTAGAGAGGGGAAACACCAAAAGTGCTGTCAGAGAATTCCCAGAAGCCTGATACTCAAACGAGTATGCAATTAACAAACACGTTAATATAGACCAAATATACCAACTAACAAAAAGTAAATCAGGTGACCAGAAAGTTTAAAATCCAAGTCAATAGAAATGGTCAATACATATGTAAAGATGGTTACCGGGAGACACAATTCTATTACTCATGAAGAAGAATTTAAATCATTTCACTTTATGCTAAATATTGCGCTGAAGGGGGACGACGAAAGCTCTGCTCAGAGAACACTATTAATTGCAAGTCTGAATTGATTACTGAAGATTTGCCTACCTACCTTCAGTTATTGATTATATTACCTTCAATCACTTTGAATTGTTATTCTGTTTTTATCAGTTGTCGGTATTTTGTTGTTATTGTTGATTCACTTTCATGTTTATTGCTTTTATTCCATCTTAACATAATTTGTTCAATTATCGTTAAGTGATTTATTATTATTATTACTATTATTATTCACATAGACTTACTTCTTTGCTGTCAATGTTATTCAGCCTATATCGAATGTACTATATTTTCTCACTTATACCTAAGGACTCTGACGCTATTTGGATATTATTATTATTTCCTTTAATTCCTAGAGAAACATAAGGCTTCAGCCGCGCGTCTTTATTGCGTTCGGTTCTCTGCTAGAGTTCTCATCTAGCTCTTAGTCTACCCACATGCTTTCATCTCCTCACCACATGACCTCTTCCAATTCACCCTTGCACTGACCACCAACTCGCCACTTCCCTTTCGGGTTCCATTCGAGCAATGGCTTGTCTAGTGATGTCACTTGATGGTTTCCTCAGAGTATGGCTAGCCAATCCACCTCCATTTCTTCCTGCTTATTTGTTACACAATCGGTTCTTGCTGGGTTGGTTCGCTCCCAGAGATCCCTCATTGTTGGTGATCTTTTCTGGCCAGTCATCTGATCTTGAGCGAAGTATTGCGCGAAGACAGCTGTTGATGAAGGTCTGTAGTTTGTTTGAGATGCTCTATATGACGCGCCAAGTCTCTGATCCATGTAGTGAGTAGCACTGACTGACTTCACATTGGAGTTGAAAATCCGGATGTTATTTTTGATGATGAGGAGTTCTGTTGACCTCCACACAGACTTAACAGTAATGAAGCCTTGTTTTGCTTTCCCGATCCTCTCTGCTTTGATATCCTCGTCAGTTCCGTCTGCCTGTATTTGAAGCCATGCTTCCCAGGTAGGTACGTAGGTAGATGAAGGAGGTTGTTTTTCTTAGATTCTTACCATTTATGCTGGCTGATTGTTGTCTGTTGTTGTTGTTGTTGCTGTCGGTGTTGGCCAGGAATCTTCATCACCTCTGTTTTCTCTATGTTCACCTGAAGCAAGTTCCATCTTTGGTGCTTCTTCTGCTACTTGGACGCGCATACACTTCTATGTATTTCAGTCGGTATATAATATATATGTAGTGATGGTCTCTGAGTGGTGTTTAAATAGAAAATATTACGTCAAATGCATAAATCACCATTAAACACACACACACACATAATTAGCTTAATTTTATGCCTGACTCTTAATATTAGCCAACCCACTTACTATGAGTACGCATTTTCGTATGTGCATATATACATGTTCAACTTGTGAAAGTGAAGCCTCAGAACATCGATACAGAGGTGCAAACTGTTTCTGTTGTTGTTGTTGTTGTTGTTGATATCTACCTCTCTCTGTATATTTTTGGTTTGAATTTGCCGTTATTCTCATACAGTCTATTTACTATTCTGTAGACTAGAATTGACTGAATTATAAATACATAAATTAGATGAAATGTGCAATGTTTATAGTCTAAAATTATCACATGATCCACTTCTTGCTTCTTATCTATTCTACGTAAGTAGAAAGAAATCTGCTAACAATGTTTGTTTTTCCTCTCTCTCTCTTTCTCGAAATGATGTGATATATTTTTGAATTATTATATATATTCGTGAAAATGCAAACACTCGAAATGTATTTTAATTTAAGCTGACGAGAGTCAGCCATTCTACCGTCTGATTCTTTGGGTGATTGATGACTTACGGCCAACAGTCAGTGGTGTCCTTGTCTTTGTTTATTTATTTATTTATTTTCATGAAGGGCTATGGTCACTGATGAGGAGTCTTCGGTGACATAATGGGGGTGAGTAGTATTGAAGTGATTAGGCTTCGATCGAGTATTAGGTGAGGAGGGGAAATCAATCGACGAGGTTGTGAAGCAGTTACACCAATTGAGTCAGACGGTTAGGATATGTGTTACTCATGCATCTTTAGCCATTGATCAACGACAGGCAATACTAGCTGACATGACATAGGATGGATCAGGTTGGAAAAGAGTTAGCTAGCAGCTGTCAAACAAAAACATGGCTTCATCAGTCATTGGAATCCATAACAGTTACTTTGAGCCAGACAGACATACACGTAAAGAGGTGTAGATTGGATGGCTAGTTGAGTGGTTGGTGTCCTTCGAATGGTAACAACCGATGGCTCCTGCAGACAGACAATTGGTGATATGTCTGAAAGTCGCCGTTCTCGATGATGGTACAGATGCATCCATTACTCTTTGTGATTGATTTGTCATATCCAATAAAAGTGTATTGTTTTTCCATATTACTCCTATTCTCTCTCCCTCATTCCCCCTTCTGTCTACTATCTCTGTTTTGAATCTGTGTTTATTCTATTGGATTGGTTTATTTGGTACAGGGAGTGAGTGTGTCGATTTGATCGGGTGCACGTGTGTTCTATGTTGAAATTAGTCAGTCAGAAGAGTCGTAAACTCGTAAAAAGAAGAAAAAAACAGTTATTCAGTACTTGTTAGCATTGGATCTTAAGGAGATCTTTTATTTCATTCCAATGGTGTGGTTAGTATGAATTGAATTACTACCTTTGTAGACTATACATATATTTTTTGTCTGTTTAAACTCGTTGAAGAAACTAAACAAGTTGCGCTAAGTAACACAACGATAGGCAACGAAATGATATTTTACAATTGATTAGAAGCTGTGGATTTAAGTAAATCAATAATATTGCTATGCAACTCATCGTAGCATTTCACTTTGAATAATCCTTAATGTTTGGCTGTATTTTTGTACATTGCGAATTATTATTTTGAAGATTATATGTTATCAATCAATGACGCGAATGGTTGTCTACTTAACTTTTTTGTTGAGCATTAAAGTATTGCGCATCCATTCAGTTGGCTTATGCATTTAAACGACTAGGTTATATATAATACAGGCTATAATGAGACAGGATACTGTTAGTTTTATCTAATATAACTGTTGTTATTGTTGTTGTTGTTGTTTTCCCCATGAGGAGTTATTCGTTTTTTAAAAACTGTTTTATTTCATGCTTTTGGTAGCTATTCTTTCTTTGTATAAATAATCCTCCTGTCTAACTGATTAGCATCTTTTTAAGACTTTGTTTGTTTGGCATTCATGCTTGTTTTTTTTGTCAGCTTCTTTCTGATTTGTTCTATTCTTTATTTTTGCTTTTTCTTAGCGCTAGCGCCGGTCCTGCATCAAATAGACAAGAAAAATCAAGTGTAAACGAAAAGTGAGTTGACTTCCTTCTCATGATAATAACATTTGTATAAAAGTGGTGTTGTTGTTGGTGGTGCTGGTGCTGGTGGTGTTGTTGTTCATGTACCCATCTCCATCGTCTCAACTTCTTCTTTTGGTTATCCTGTTATTTTACCATTCTAAATTTTATTAAAGAGGACTTGTTTTAGCCATGAAAGTCACCGCATTATATTCCTGTTGATAAGTTCATTTGGTTTTGAGAGCTTTTATAACAAACAAAAGTTATTCAAGTGTTGGTATGCAGAGATTTGATTTCATTGGTTAACCTGGGAGCATTGTTTTAAAAATTTCCTTCACATTCCCAGTGGTACATAGGGCCTCAAGCTAGTGGCTTGAAGTTTCTGTAGCAGTGGTGATTATTTTTTACAGGATGGGGTTACTAGCCAGCCTCATGCCTAACCTTTCCTCTTTACCCAGCCTTATTACTGGTTTAGCGAGGTCGAGGAAGGAGTGCCGGGGATCGATCCCGGAGCATGTGCATGGTCAGCGGGCGTCTTAACCGCTGTCCCACCGACTCACTATTCACACAGTGACGCATTCATTGACTGGGCACTGGTTTTCAGGAGAACCAAACACACCCATCCCTGCCTCTTGCGAGAGGAGACCGGCATGCAGGATCATCCTGTGGCGCAACCAATTGAGAGCCCTCTCCCTCGGTGGACCAAACCTGGAAGCATATATATATATATACGCTGGGATTCGTGGCCCATTGGGTTGGGTCTCAGTGGCTGAATGGTCTGCGAGCTTTCCTTTTAACTAGTAGGTCCTGGATTTGAACCTGGGTAGTCTTTTCCTTTGAAGAGTCCTAAAGTAAGATGAAACAACTGTCCAGTACTTCGGTGCTGGTTCTTGCAATGGTTCTCTAACCGTAGTCAACTCATGATGAAATCCTCTAACCAATGAAATGAAATCCCTGTAAACCAACACTTGAATAATAATAATAATAATAATAATAAAGAAATCAAAACACATCTTATACATGACGAAACCTTTCCGATTTCGTAATAACAATGATGCATAGGATGGGCTAATGCAGAGTTTATCATCTTTTAGTTTAAATTGCGAAGTTATATCTTACGTATGAAAGATTTCAGCATATCAGATTTTTTTGTTCAAATTTGGTTTTGGTGATATTGTAACAACAGAAGACAAGGGCCAGCCAAACAGATCCTTTATTAAGGAAATCAACACATATTTATAGATTTTCATGTACATATTATAGATTATTGTTATCAGGAAAACACAGTCCTCTGATTGGTTGTTTCTCACAGAAAGTTAACCTTGAATCTCTTTGTGGCTGTTTCTTGAATATCAGATCATCGATATGTTAACTGTATCCGCCTACGCAAAGCCTTTGTTCTCATTTTCCTCACGATCAATATTCGGGACATAAACATTGACATAAATTACTGTCAACCAATTTCGACTAACAGCCAGCTCTCACCATAGTATGATTTCACTGAAATGTGTAATATCGTTTAAAATTGGCTTACTAAAAATAAAAACTATTCAGTGTAGTTGTATATTTTCAATTTCATCTTATAAAACGTGGTCATTGGTGGTGGCAGGCAGCATCATTCTTTTTTTTCATAGTGTCGTGCTTGTCTTCTTAGATTGTATGTAAGATTTTCATAGCTGTGAATATTAAACGGTTAACAGTTATACACTGACATGATTCAGCGCATAGAGTAGCATCAAAATCGAATCGGCTTCTAAAACATGACATAAAGTTTGTAATTGTTGATTTCGATTGTATATATGGATGGCGTTGGGGGTACAAAGGGAAGGGAAGGGGGAACTCTCAATTTCATAATTGTGGTCTTCCCTAGTGTTAATAATTAGGCAATTAGAGACTTTTGGAGACAGGATCTGTCAAAATCGTTAACTTTTGTAAATCCTTATCTATATTTCATGCCACTATCAGTCAATAGTAGTTTCATCTTATGACTTTTAACTTATTTTATTCGTGTCCTGTTTCCAACTACGACAACGGTAACGTTATTCAGGGTTTTCATTTATAACCTTAATTACTTGACATCATTTATAAAACGACCGGGAAATCAGGGGGTACTGGATAGCTGTTTCATCACACTTTAGTGGTAACCAAACCTGTTATACTTTAAGCACCACTAACTACCAATCAGCGAATGACATCGAACACACCAATCACGTGAAGGAGGCATTTTCCTGTATCGAAGACACTTGGTGAAGTTCAACAACTGCATCCCAGGAGTGCGAACGCTCCAATGACCTTGAACTCATGCTAGTCATTGGCTCTCAGTTCTAGACGGGAGTATCAACAGAGCATAATTCCATTGTGGGCAAAATTTATTTTGACAAAGTTTCATAATGTAATACAGCAATATCTCCTCAGCAATAAATTGTGCCTTATACGTCATCAGTAAATATGACTGTATAACACCCTGAGACTTTTTGTCAAAATAAATTTTACCCACAATGAAATTATACTTTACCACAGTGGACAATTTCTATTCTTATATAAACAGACTAATTTAACTACACATTTTATGCATGTAATTATTTAGGTCTTCTAACCCTAACAATAACCCTAATCTTCTCTGAACCTAGTCCTAACGTGAAAATATCCTTAAATAAATTGTAATCTCACTTGAATTAACCCTAATGTCACTTTTAATAGGTTAACCTAACTCTAACTTGTCCTTGGCTTAAAAAGTTACTCAATCTTTCCCAAGTCTAAGCTGAAATTTGCCAGATATCCCATTTTATTGGCATAACACTTCGATAAGCATATTTAATTGACGATGATAATGACATTATTTGCCAGGTTTCAGTGACTCCCTCAGTCAGCGTTTCAGGGTCATTGGTACGGTCGCACTCCATTGGAGGTCAGTGGTGCTTAAAGTTTAACTTGGTCATGTAGCCAATTAAATCCCTGCAAATCAAAACTTGAAAGTTAATCTGATGCACAACTACCGACTGGCTGTATGTAGGAAGTCACCTGGAGTTCTAGTTGTGAAAAGTTGTGACCATCAGAGTCCATCAAGTCAGGTAGGAGAAGCAGTTGCTTACCTGTGAGATTGGCGGAGGCTGGGATTCATGCACGATTGCATTAGATCCCAAGTAACTGAATGGTCTATGAGCTCACCTTTTGTAACTAGAAGGTACTGGGTTGCGTTCTCCTGAAGGGTCCCAGACTAGAGAAAACCAGATGTCCAGTATAGTCTCAGGTTCCTTGCCAGTGGTTCTGTCACTGATGTCAGCTTGTGAAAAAACCTATAACCAATTAAATGCTTACAAACCAACACTTGTAATAACAACCTTAATCTACCAACACATGTGAGAAGTTATTGTCAATTAGTAACAAAGATAAATCTAAGTTTATGAGAAATATATGTGTAAAACTTGGGCACTGTGGTTGCAAGTAATTCCATATTAGTTTGTTTATTAGATCTATCACACAGTCTGTGAAACAGTATTACTGTTTACTGGATGATAAGGTTTTGAACAGAATTTATTATTGTTCATTATCATATCATCAATTATAATCACACGACTTCGAAACTTGAGTTTTACAGTTTTCTTTGTCGTAGGATTTTTCAGATATCTGGGACAGGTGTTGAATCATTCCTTTTACATGTATTTGCAATTGATTCGATAAACGAAGCTTCTGGTATCAATCCCTCTCTCCACCTTGTGACATTAGATTTTAAAACTGCCATTTTATCCCATCCATCCTATTGTATGGTTGTGTGTAACTGCATTTAGTGCTATAGCTGAACTATTCTCTAGATAAGATAAATCTAGAGAATAGTTTATCTATAGCACTACATGCAGTTACACACAACCATACGATAGGATGGATGGGATAAGATGACAGTTTTAAAATCTAATGTCACAAGGTTGAGGGAGGGACTGATACCTGAAGCTTTGTTTATCGAATCAACTAAATGAAAATACGTGTAATAGGAATGATTCAACACCTGTCCAGCCGGATATCTGGAAGATTCTACTATCCCAACGACGACAAAATACGAGAGAACAAAGAAAACTATAATACTAAAGTTTCGAAGTCGTGTGATTATAATTGATGATATGATAATGAACAATTATAAATTTTGTTCGAACCCTTGTCATCCAGTAAATAATAATACTAATTCACTGTGTGATGTATCTAATAAACAAACTAATATGGAATTGCATGAGAAATAGCACTGTGCCAAAAGTAATCATTGTATATAATTAAGAAAATGTACAACTAATTAATTAAATGGATGGATAGTAGTGTTTTGTGAAGATAATTGATGATAGAAAACAAGAACACAAAGATTTGGAAGTATGGGTCACAAATAAAAATCACATAGAGTTTAACTACACCAACAAGCGTTTCTGAATGTTTTCTTTTATTGATTTGTTTTTTGTGTCGTCTAGTGTTGAACTGAAACATTGTTGTAGAATCCTAGTTTTTTTTTCAATGTAATCTTCTTGAATTTCGTCTTCTTCAGAGCTCGTCTCCTTCCACGTATACGCGTATCCGATTTACGTGACCGCGGCAATGATATCAATGTAGATAATCATGGTCAAGAGAAAATAGATGAAAATTCAGAAATTACTGAATCACCTGGTGATCAGTTAAGCGTTCGTCGAATGAATACCTTTACAATGTCGGATAAATTTCGGCCAACTGGTTCAGATTCTCAATCACCTAACCTGCAGGGTCCGTTGTCTAGAGCACCACCAATGTCAAATATACCCAAGTAAGTGGTATCTGTTTTTATAGTGTCAGTATGTTTTTCGTATGTTAGTTTATCACTGCGCAGTTTTTGCATTCCCCTTTAATTCATCTCATCCGTTAACTGCTAAGACAGGCTTAGTTAAGTGTCTAACAAACTGAGCAGTAGCACTAAGTAGTACAAGAAAAGACCTAAACGATGAAATGAAACATATAGAAGAATAGCTGGTTGGCATCAAATATCTATCCTTTAAAATTCATCAGGAAGATCAGAAAAGGCCAAAAGCAAAATAAAAATAGTCGTGAAACTAGTAATAATAACAACACTAATAAGAGATAATATAAGTCTTCCACTGTTATCCCATATAAGGAGGCGACATCTGAGACCCTACGTAGGATTCTTAATAAAGCAGGAATTAGGGTGGCATTTAAACCTACAAACTCACTCAGTGACAAACCCTGTAGGTTGAAGAACCTTGTTGACCCAATCAGACAAAATAATCTAATATACTAAATGCCCTGCAATGACTGTAAGGTCAAAGTAGTACGTCAGGGGTAGTCAGATTATCAGAACATAAGAATTTAGCTAAGGTAAGAATGGTTGACCCCCCCCCACACCCGAGAAGAGTAGTAATTTTGAAAAAAGCTCGGCGATTGCATTGCATGCATTAACACACAATCACACAGTAGGATGGGAGAGGGTTAAAATTCTAAAAGTAATCTATGTAGGTGGAGAGAGAGAGAAGAAGAGAGATTGATTACTGAATCCTGTCTGGTTCATCAAGTCTACACCCGACACATGCAACAGAAATGGCTCAATGGAAATACCAGAAATATGCATGGAAGATATTATCACCGCTAGTCAGATCAGAAGGGGGTAAGAAATAACATCAAATTTCTATTTCAATTCAAGCACATCACAACATTCTTACAAGCTGCTTATTATGACTATAAGAACACTCGTCTTATTTCCCATATGATTGTAATTGATCAGTAACACTCATATTATTATTTCTGAATATATATTATCCTATATTGATTTTTATTCCAATATCTAATCGATTCCGCACATGTATATACATGAAGGAGTAGTGACTTGATATGATAATGAGCAATAGTTTGTGCTCGAACTGTGGTCATCAGTTAATACTATTGTGTAACACTGTGTGATTTATCAAAATAAAGTCTTATCCGTAATGGAATTCCTCTGTAACACTTATTGATTAATATATGCATGGGAGGTAGTTCTGTGGGGTTTATACGGCAGTGCGGATCTGTCACTTTGCTAGAAAACGTTATATGATCTTGAGTATCAGGAAGGTACTGCGTTTTGTGTATGCTCACATTGGTGACAATTGGTGAATAACTGCCGTCGTCTCTTATTCCGTAATTATGCTTTACGAATCATTGAGAAAAGTCTCTCTGTCAAACTTACACGGTATAAAAAATCAATAATAAAACTTCCTCAGTGATATTTATCACCCTCATATGAGTCAACAGTATTTCTGATATCACTTCTCTGTGGACTCACTCTAATAGTGTTATCTCTGATTATATCGTTTCAAATCTATTTCTTCGACATTGATCAAAAAGGTGCAGTGGTTACTAGCTGGCGCAAATTGTTTGCTTATCGGCTATACATATGGTCTTAGTGAGATTAAAAGTGCAATAGTAATGTATCCATTAATTTATGTTTAATATTGTATAGAATCATCGACATATCGGTAATACATATCAAACTCCTTGATGGTGTCTTTCAATTTCGCATTTTCAAGTTTTGCGAGGAAGATGTCAGCTAATATTGGGCCTAATGGTGAACCCATAGTTATTCCATCTACTTGTTGGTAGTATGAATTATTGAAGACAAAATGAACATTCATTGTGCATTTAAGGAGTAATTTTTTGAGGCTACATAAGGGAATTCCTAAGTCCAATTGCCTTTCGGTAATTTTGACTAATGTAATCTACCGTTTCCATAAGTGGTACATTCGTGAATAGTGACGATGCATCCATGGATACCATGCGTTTATACCTCACATTAGTCTCCGATATTTTAGAAATAAATTCGAAGGCATCACTGATTATATGTCACACGATTTCTTGGTGCAAATGTCCCATAATCTTCACTAACCACTTCGCTGTTCTGTGAAATGGAGACTTATACATATCTAAAACATGGCGAAGAGGAAGACCTGGTTTGTGCACTTTGGGTAGACTGTAAAGACGTGAAGTATTGGTACCCGTTGCTTTCATAGACTTATACGTGGCTGATGGTATTACTCCTATTTGGTTCAGTTTTTTTGAGATAGTCAGTCAGTAGTTACTCCGCTTTTACATTGAGGTCTTTGGAACTACCAAGAGATTGGAATTCAGTTTGATCACTCAAAATACCTTCCATTTGCTCAACACAACCGCTTTTATCCAGCAAAACTACACTGCCACCTTTATCTTGCTTGCTAACAATTAAGCTTTCATTACTTCCTAGTTCTCTTAGAGCTTCTCTGTGTTGCCTAGATAACAGACTTTTTACTGAATGCCTATTATTTTTGTATTGTTGGCAGCTATCGTCAACTATCGTCGTTTTATCTCATAACCCTGTTTACTGTCTCCATTTTGCATTTCTTCTAACTTCTTCCCTTGCTTTGTGTGCTACGTGGATGGAGTGTGGTGACTTGAACTGCTGCACATAGGTGCAAAGTTCTGTGTTGAAAACAGAAAGACAGCGTCATTTTGAACCTAGTTAGTTCATCGTCCTATGATGGGGTAAGGTCAGACGTTAACTTTACGATAATAGTCACTAAATTTGAGACCTAGGGATAACACCTCCAGTTGAAATTTGTTGAGCATGACACTGAGAAAATTGTGAACATACCGGCCCGGAACTGACGAAAATTTCCTTTTAAGCTTTTGACTTTCAAGAGACTTGACAAGACTAATCCTTTTATTATTCCTTCTGTTTACTGTTATGTTATTAACACATACTCCATAAAACATCAATTGTAATTTTCGAGGTAAATCATCAACTGAAAATTGTCCTCGTGATATGTTCGTTTCTAGATCACTTACGTATGCCAAGTCATCACCTCCCTCGACGAGCAATGTTACAGGATATATGGTCAGGCTGGAAAAAAGCTAGCGGCGGTCAAACAAAAACTTGGCACCAGTCAATGAAATCCACAACAGTTGCTCTAAGCCACGTAGGAAGGTATAGACTTCCAGGCTGGGGTCCTCGGGACGGTAAAAATCTATGGTTGGAAACAATTGGTGACATGGCTGACAGTTATCGGTTGCGATGATGGCGAAGATGCATTCACTCTCTAGAATTTGTCATATCCATCCAACAGGATTCTCTTGTTCTTCTATATTACTGTTGTTTTTCCCTCCCTCACACTTCTGTGTATTATCTTTCTTTTGCATCTGTATTAAGTCTGTTCTGTTGCTTTGTGTAGTAGAAGGAGGGATTGTGGCGAGTTGAACTGGGGAGCACATATGTGCAAAGTAGCTCTATGTTGAAACCAGTCTTTTAATCAGTGTTTGCTCAGTATTGCATTATGACTATCTATTAGTAATAGCGCGTCATATAGAGCACCTCAAACAGACTACAGACCTTCATCAACAGTTGTCTCCGCTTAATACTCAAGATCAGATGACTGGCCAGAAAAGATCAACAACAGTGAGGGATCTCTGGGAGCGAACCAACCAGGAACTGATTGTGCAATAAGTAAGCAGGAAGAAATGGAGGTGGACTGGCTAGCCATACTCTGAGGAAACCATCAAGTGACATCACTAGACAAGCCAGTGCTCGAGTGGAACCCGAAAGGAAAGCGGCGAGTTGGTCGTCAGTGCAAGGTCATGTGAAGAGGAGATGAAAGCGTGTGGGCAGACTTGGAGCGGGATGAAAACGTTGACAGAGAACCGAACGCAATGGAGACGTTTGGTTGAAGCCCTATGTTCCTCTAGGAATTAAAGGAAATAATATTAATAATAATAATTGTACTTACCTTATTTTTATAATTTATTTCATTGATTTTGTCTTTGTAGCTGCATCACTGCTAATCCATCTACAACTAGTAGTGAGAATTCACCTATCAAATCTACTGACAAAGCATCTGTTCCGTTTACTACTGATAATACAACCACTTTTGAACAACCGATCAAATTGAATCAAGCTGTACCATACACTGAAGAAAATCCGTAAGCCTTATGTTTGTTTTTTGTCTCGTTTTCCTCTCTCTTTTTGTGTGTGTACTTATTTGTGTGTGTGTGTGTGACAGTTGTACTTTTGCTTTTTTTATGCTCCTTTTTTCTGTGAATCTAGATAACGCGATTATTTTTTTCGGCATAGAATGAGGAAATGTCTGAAGAGACTTAGGCATTTCATTGACACCTCGTCTCCGACCCAAATCTATTATCACTTCACACCACCATTTCTTTAGCATTGTGCGTCTTTTGGAAGTCAAGACATTACGTGATACTGGGTGAAATTTGATTACATAGAATTTAACGCTGCAAAACAAAATTGATTTAGAAATAGAGCTATAAGAAGCAAGATCATTGAACATCTGATCGATAATGATCACCCTATCTCACTCTCGCCCTCCCTCTCTCTCTCTACAGCCTCGGCCCTTAAAGTCATCTACCCGGCGAAAAGTAATTTGCCCAAAATTATTACATAAATCCTCTGACTCATCTGTATTGCCGAAGCCGTCTTTGGCCATTGAAATACAAGAAACCATCTCTCTGCATGTACAGAAAAATGGTTCATTAAAACCCTTCAGCCTAAGTAGAAGTTGTGATTTCTGTCACTTATACAAAAATCAAAACTTTTTGTTCATTTATTGATATAATACTGCGTCGGTAGCACAGTACAGCGATTAGAACTCTCGCCGACCATGCATATGGTCTGCGGTTCGATCCCCTGTCACCAACGCACACCTGATATCTATAGTTGGCCTGCAAAATTTAGGCTACGGATATCATATGCTGAAAATTCCATGCTTATACCAAAAATATTGTGTGGATTCAGGCTATAATCAGAAAAAAATTAAATTGATGAGTAACTTATTCTCAATGTTATTATATTTCTTTTCTTTAGTTCACTAAATTCTAACAAGTAAGTTTTTTACCTCTACACACAAAAACATGTGCTCAAATGGCTCATCTGGCTTTGCTTTATTTTTTTTTTAATCTCTGAAATTTCGCTTTCTGCTCTCAGACAAAATAAACAACAGTATTATCCATTGTAGGATAGAATTAGATTTCTAAACACAGTCGCTACTTAGTTTGATGGTTTGATTGTATGTGTATTCAACTGTATTTTTCAAGTATTGATTTTCTAGGAATTTAGTGTGATTGCATGGAGGATTTCATCATGATGGGCTGACATCAGTTAGAGAACCACTGGAAAACCATCTGGGAGTACTGGACAACTGTTTCATCTGTGTTTAGGACTCTTCGTACCGCTGAAGAGTCTCAAACTAGGACGAAACAGTTGTCCAGTACTCCCAGATGGTTTTCCAATGGTTCTGTAACTGATGTCAGCCCATCATGATGAAATCCCCCCATCCTATACAACTGTTGATGAATAGGTTGAGATTTTTTCTTTCGAAGTGTGCTGTAGAGGTGGTGTAATTCTCTTACAGTCTCAGTTTCATTTATGAATATCTGTGTAAAACTTGGTCATTGTGGTAGTGTATATAATTCCATAATTATTTTGTTTATTAGATATACCATACACATACACACATGCACAGAGTAAAACGGTATCACTGTTTTGCTGGATGACAAGGTTTCGAACACAATTCACTGTTCTTCATAATCATGTTATCAATTATAACCATACAACTTTGAAACTTGAGTCTCACATGGTTTCTTTTATTCCTGCCTATTCGTCCGGGATATGCATTTCAAACGTGCACAGGATAATGACAACACCAACAATGGGGAATATAAATCATCAGTATTATTATACCATACAAAGAAGAAACCTCAGAAATCTTACAGAGAATTCTTAACAATGCAGGCAGGAATAAAAGTGGCTGGCACTTGAACCATCCACAAACTCAGTTACAAACAAGCTTTGTCGGTTAAAGGATCCTGTGGAGTCTATTAAACAAAGCAGTTTAGTTTATCTAGTAAGCTGCCTGCAGTGATTGTCAGGTCAAATACACACGTCGAAGCAGTAGAGAACGGAGTCAGTCAGACCAGTGGAGCACAAAAAGTCCTAACAGAATCTAGATAAGTCGACCATAATAAGATAAGAAATCTGGAGATTAGTAGAGCCGTAGATAGCACTACACTCAATTACTCACACATACACACACGCACACTATACAATCGGATGGAATTAGATGACAGTTGAAAAATCTAATATAACAGGGTGATAGACGGGGAGAGATTGATAACGTGGAGCTTCATTCATCTTCGAATCAACTAAAAATTCATGTAATAGGCGTGATTGAATACCTTTCCAGTCTGACGTCTGGAAAGTTTTATCAACCCCCCCCCCGCCGTCTGCGATGAATAGGCAGGAATAAAGGAATACAATTGGTGGATGGTGGCTAGCAGTGGAATCCAGGATGCACATTTCGTCCTATTTGGGACTCGTCAGCTGGATGTACCTGCATTTCTCAGTGAGTGATGATGTTCCCACCGAGGCTCGAACCCAGTACCCATAGTTTCAAACGCCAAGGCGTTATCCACTAGACCACTTGGGCCACGAGAGCCACCTCTTGTGCAACGGGTCATATTAATTATTGAATTAAATTTTTGATTTTCCCGTCGGTCCAATCAATCGACGGGAAAATCAAAAATTCAATTCAATAAGGAATAAAGGAAATTATTATAAAACGAAATTCTCAAAGTTGTGTGGTTATAATTGATAATACGATTATGGACAATAATAAATTGTGTTCGAAACCTTGTCATCTAGTAAACAGTGATACTGTTTTATTGTGTGTATGTGTCTGTGTGTGTGCGTGATATAATATACAATAAATAATATGGAATCTCATTTATGATTGTTTCAATTTTGCCTCGTTTATTGCTACCTACTTTTGCTGTCATCCTCTAAAAAAAAGTGTGAAAGATATCAGTGTGTTAATCAATGCTGTGTGATCGTCTTCAGATCTGTGCCGTTTCCTCCACAATCTGAACAACTAGCTGTGTGAAGTATTTTGCTGTTATTCATTGCCTATCACCTCATCTGTGATTATTATTATTATTACTGCTATTACTTCCGTTATCGGAATCAATAAAATTCATCCGGTTTTTGACGTATGTGTGTGTGTGTGCGTGCAGGCGAGCGAGTGAGTGAGTGAGTGAGTCTTTCTACTTTTGTCTCTCTCTATTCGCTCAACCTAACTATCACTCTCGAGGTTTAACAATCAAATGCGCTACCCTTTTATTCCTCTTAACAATCTTATCCACCACACTGGAATATTTTACGATTGCTTGCTGTTCACGCTCTAACACTCCTCCACTCTCTACTCCATTGATAACCATTTTTTTTAATTACTGCTTTATACAAAATGACATCGCTGTCCCGCTCTATTCCGAATAATATTTGATTGTATTTTTGTGTTACAGCTTATTTGCTGCTTTGCATTAGTTTAATTTGCCTATTAAGTGGCAATGAATTATAAGAACGCTCTACATTATGGCTGTTCTGTTTATCTGTGTGTTGTTGTGTTTCTTGTTGTTTATTTTTCGAGGAAAATTTCAATGCGATCATCTCTTCCTTCTTTCTTTCTTTCTTTGTTCTAATTATGCCTGATAATTGATCAATGGAAAGGGGAAATAAGTTTCATATTAATAATTGTTGAGGATTAGTCAGAAAGTTGTGGTGCTGATGGTGGTCGTGGAAGGAGGCTTTCCCTACTGGGAATAATTAGATAAGGGTGTGCGCCTTTTGTTTTAAGTACGTAGCAGTCTCTTGTAGGTTCCACTTAGCTTTGCTGTTGTTGTTGCTGTTTTTTCCTACCCTGAAGTTCCTAAGTGGAAGATATAAATTCAGGATGTTTAGGCCTTGGAGTTTCAATAGACATATTGTTGTGGTGGCTTAGTAGTGGTAGAATGCTTGCCAAGAATGCATGTATTCTGGGGTTCGATTCCCGGGCACTCTTTCCTCTAACTCGCTAATCCGCTCATTGGACCGGTAAAGAGGGAAGATTAGGCATAAGACTACCCCCTACCCTACCATTTAAAAGAAACACCACTGCTACCGAAACTTCAAGTCTTTAGCTTGAAGCCTTATATTCCACTGGTGTGGGGTTACCAGCCTCACGTTTAATCCTTCCTTTCCAGGCTTATAAACTAATCGATTTAGCTTGACACCGATCAAATCCCTGCAAACTAACACTTGAAAACTACTTGAGGTTTAGGAGCGCGTTGGTCAGCAATGAAACTGCAGACCATGTTTCCGTGCACTTAATTGGCACCTTTAATTAGGAGACTATATTGTACACTAGATGAGCATACTTCAAACATCACACTAAACAGTTGGTCATTATTTACAGTACATAGACTGGTGAAGAGGTGATAATTACTAACATTATCTTATTGGTAGTGTTAATTCCGTTAGGATAATCTCGCACATGTGTGTAAAGTAAGAAAATAGCTGGTAGAACTGAGCTTGATATACTTCAAGTGCGATATAAGCCTGTGAAATATTTAGTCTATGAGGTGAAATTTCACTTAACCAAAGATAATTAATCACAGTGACTTCACAGCGTGTCGGTGACACAGCGGTAGAGTGCTCGCCAACCACGCCTTATGTGGTCCAGAGTTCGATCCTTGGCCACAGACGCACTCCTTCCTTTACCTCGCTAAGCCAGTAGTAGGACTGGTAAAGAGGGAAGGTTGGGCATGAGGCTGGCTAGCATCTCCATCCTGTAAAAACAAGTATCACTGCTACTGAAAAACTTCAAGCCTGTAACTTGAAGCCCTATGTTCTACGTGGAACGTAAAGGAAATAAAAAAAGCTGATTTCACAAAACAACATTCTACATATTACGCACACACACACACACAGACATGCACACAGGTGATTTTATTAAGTAGCTAGTAGGAACAATTTGTCATAGTTTTCCTTCAGTAATAATTAGGCATATACAGGTTCCGCAATAGCTGTTTATAATTCTTTCTATGCCTTTAATAATTTAGTTAAGCAGAATACGGTTGATTTCTTACCCACCACAGGGGGTTCGAACTCAGGACCTTCTGGTGGGTGCGTACTGCTGATGATTCCCAAACTAGGACGGAACAGCTGTCCAGTGCGCCATGTGACTGTTTTTCAATGGTTCTCTGATACATATATATATATATATATATATATATATCCATATAATATGTGTGTTTGTTTGACAGTTTGTTCTTGGTGACATGTATCCATATAAATTGTGTGTTTGTTTGACAGTCTGATATATTTTGCTATGCATATATGGATCGATATTCCATTATAATTAGCCAATCATGTTAAGACTGTCTACTGATTTGTTCATTTTCAATGTTCGCTCTCACACTTGTGTTCACACACTTGTTCGGACATTCATATATATTTTTGCTCTCACACTCTTGTGGGACATATTGATTCTCCTGGTGTTTTGGAAAATAGAAGTATCATCGCAAACCTAGTGGTCTTCTGATTTCCGTCTTTCTTGCGTCAGGACTATTAAATTCTCGACCAGTACATAACAATAATTTGGCGACGAGTACATAATATTCTCTAACTGTTATCAATCCGTGATCAAACTTGTAAAAACAGATATAATTATATCATCAATCATGAAGGGAGAATTCAAACAATTTCACTTTGATACTAAAACCTATGCTAAAGTGATTGTTGTCTAGATGTTGGACAACGAAATCTGTACAGTTAAGTTAACCAGCTCCTTAGAGAACACAACTAGATCAAAATATCCATCTCATGGAATAAATACACACTGCCGCAAAAGATAAATTACGTAATCCATAAATCTTCTCTCCATTGTTTTCACTCAATATAAGTTTAGAATGTGAAACAAGTGATATGCAAATATAAAGGCATATTGATCGATTATCTTATTATTGACAACAATCCCACGTCGACTATTTCACTGTTTTCATTGGTCTTTCTGAATCTTATATATCCCTTCCCTAATTTTGATAGATGCATCGAATTATTTTGTGTGTGTGAAAACTGAAATTTTTTTTTGCTTCTCGTCAGTTTTTTTTCTCATCGATTAGCAGACATGTTATAATAATAATAATAGTAATAATAATAATAATAATAGAATGGGATACAACTTTTTCATCAAAATATGATTTTGCTATTATATTTCTGTTAATATGTGTATCATTTTCAATTCCTTTCATCAATAGGATGATAGAGACAGCTCTTTTTTCTCATCGTTATGTGTTCATAAAAATAAATAAGCTCTTGGATTAGATCATAAGCAATGGAACACCTAGTTGTAGTTATGGCAATCAACCTGGCAGCAAGCAAAACAACATATCGTTAACGAGAAAATCAGGACATTTAATTGGTGAATGGTGACACTAGCAGTGGAATCCAGGAAAACACGCATTTCGTCCTATTTGGGACTCGTGGTCAGCTGGATGTATCTGCATTTCCCAGTCAGTGAGTGATGATGTTCCCACTACTGAGGCTCGGACCCAGTGCCCATAGTTTCAAACGCCAAAGCGTTATCCACTAGACCACTTGGGCCATGAGAGCCACCTTTTGTGCAATCGGTCACATTAATTATTGAATTGAATTTTAGATTTTCCCGTCGATCGATTGGACCGAAGTGCTAGGTCTCAGGTTGACGTGTCTATCGGCTTTTTGTGTAGATGCTTCGACGATGTCTGGGCATTTAGTTAGTATTTAATTGGTGGATGGTGACTAGCACTGGTCTAGTGGATAACTCTTTGGGTACTGGGTTCGAGCCTCGGTGGGAACATCGTCACTCACTGACTGGGAAATGCGGGTAAATTCAGATGGTGAGTCCCAAATAGGACGAAATGCGTGTTGTCCTGGACTCCACTGCTAGTCACCATTCACCAATTCAATTCTGATTACATGCCCAAACATCTTCATAGCATATGCACAAGAAGCCGACATGTCAACCTGAGACCGAGCACTTCGATCCAATCAATCGACGGAAAAATCTCAAATTCAATAAAAAAAAGAGAAAATCAGGGGCTTACATTCTTTGTGATAATTTGAAGACTCAGTAATATGAAAGGTTTCGATTCTCTCTGTGGATTGTTTCAAGAGAGTTTACGTCACAGATTTGTAGAAGAAGAAGAAAAGTAAACATGGTCATTGAAAAGCAAGAACCATTGGCCATTGGCTTCATCTTTGTTTTTGGGGTCAATCAACAGTGCGAACCCCTAATCCCCCACGTTGAACAGAACAGAGCCGTGGATCATTTGCTGAACTTCCTCTCTCATTGGTATCGATCCATTTTGAAGACTATCTTCGGTTTTTGTCATAATTATTATTAAAACATAAGCTTTATGCATTATGAGCACCAAGAGATGCTCCACAAAAAGCCGCCTAGTTTGTGCGTGTGAGAGCTGGGATTCCGGCCGGACACTCAAACCGAATCAGGTGGTTGCCTTTTAAACAACCCCCCCTCCGAGCCTTTGATATGACGTCTGATTTACAAGGCAGTGGAGCAGCGCCAGGAGCTGTGTTGCTATGGCTGACGGTGACCAAAGCAGGTCTGGTCCGTACAGATTCTGGAGTCCGTGTACACCATAGGTTTGAAATCGGTGTGTGTGTTTTATATCCCCTAGTTGTAGACCAGCATGTGTATAATTCCGGTTGTAAACGCCAGACATTCGTATTTTTATCCTTTCACTTTTGTGAGGAACATTCTCCACCACTTGATGAAGATAATGAAAAGGAATTTACTGGTACATCCAGACGCTATGAACGCGTGGCTGTACAACCAGGTGTTATACATTACTAATTGCTTTTTTTGAATTTTCGCAAATTTGAATTTGACTATTCTGAACAGTTTATCATCATAAACTGTTCTTGTTTTAACTAATTTGTTTATCTTTGAAAATTGAAATATTTTTCTGCAACTGTTTTTGATAATGAACTCGAAAGACAAAAAAACCTCCAATCGCTATTCTACTCTGAACAGTTCGTTTAACCCTGATATGAACCTCTTTATCTATCAATCTATCCATCTGTCTTATTAATAAGAATATCTTTATTCTCGACAGTATTTATATTATTCACAAAATTTTTTCAGAGGAGTTTATTGTGTATGGGATATTTGTCCTTCGTACAATATTTTCAAGTAAAAATATTAATTTCACAGCATATCCGGTGACATAATAGTCTCTGAGAGCTGAAGCACAAACTGTCTTCAAGAAATCCACTATATCGATCTAATTGAAAGCCAGTTGGTAAGATTGGTTGAAGAATTTCATCATGATGAGCTGACATCAGTTAGAGAACCATTGGAAAATCAGCCATAGGGAGTACTGGACAATCACTTGTTTCACCAGTCCTAGTTTGGGACTCTTCAGCAGTACATTTTGAAACCTAAAGACATAACCAAAGAAAAGTTAGTTAATCTCATTTATTGGAGCATATTGCCACCCATACAATCAGGCTTTTCCTGAAGTTTAATAGATTACTTGCAAATCAAAAGCTTGTAGACATTTTCAAGACACCCAAGAGTAGATATTACCATTAGAGAGGTTGCTATTATCTCAATCGATTAAAACAAATCGAACGGAAGAAAATAAATATGCAATAGAGAGATGGAAGTTGTTTTTTTTTTGGATAGCCCAAGCAAGTTTTAATCCTTTTTTTAATTATCGACTATATATGTGCTTCGGTGGCACAGTGGTTAGGACTCTCGCCGACTATGCAAATCGTCTAGGGTTCGATCCCCTGCCGACGCACACCTAATATCTATGGTCGGCCTGCAAAATTTGGGCTACTGATATCATATGCTGAGAATTCCATGCCTGTACCAAAAAATACGGTGTGGAATCAAGCTGTAATAAAAAATGTATATATATGTAAGATTCACGTGTTTATCGGACTCACCAATAAGTAGACAATAGCATCCATTATCCAAGATTCCTAGAATTTAAAATACATTTTGAAGGTCACATCTTGATTACACAGACACGCATACGCATACAGAAGGTTGATAAATCGATTGCAGTACAAATTGAAAAAAAACACAACCAAAAGTTACCTACTTGTAAATTGTTACATTCGTTTAGATTGTACTTATTTGAATTCTTAGCTTTGTTATGAGATCTATTCATATTAAAATAACAATCATAATATATATATACACTTCTGTATCTGTGTGCCTCTTTTAAATTGACTATTTTATTGTTGTTATTACATTTTCTAACAGCTTCATTGGATGGTTACGAAGGTAGAGTACACTTGTTGTTTGTTCGATTATGATATACATATATTGATTTTCTCACTCTGTTTTTTTTATACCTTCACTTTGTGTGCAATTTCGTTTTGTTTCCTTTTTCATTTTTCTTATTTTGTTTGTTATTTTGATTATTCAACTGAGCTGAGGTGGAGTATTTTATAGCTTTTACTTATACTTTTTTGTTGTTTTACCATAGTTTCCTTTTGTTCATGAGTGTGTGTGCGTGTGCCATTTGTTTTTCCGGTATCCTGCATTTTTTTCGGTGTGTTTGTTTGTTCATTGATTATTAGTTGAGTTGTTTTGTGTGTGTGTGTGTGTGTGTATTAGAGTGACAAATGGTGTATGTGAAGTTTACATATAAACACGGTAACCAACTTAGCTGTCTATCTAACTTTAAGAGTATTGATCAAGTGTGTATCATGAAATGATACCTTTTGTGGAAATAATGTTATTATTATTTCCTTTAATTCCTAGAGGAACATAGGGCTTCAACCAAACGTCTCCATTGCGTCCGGTTCTCTGCTAAAGTTTTCACCTGACTCCAAGTCTGCCCACATGTTTTCATCTCCTCTTCACATGACCTCCTCCAAGTCACCATCGCACTGACGACCAACTCGCCGCTTCCCTTTCGGGTTCCACTTGAGCACTGGCTTGTCTAGTGATGTCACTTGATGGTTTCCTTGGGTTGGTTCGCTCATTGCCAGAAATCCCTCCCTGTTGCTGATCTTCTCTGTCCATCTGATCTTGAGTATTGAGCGAAGGCAACTGTTGATGAGGGTCTGTAGTTTGTTTGAGGTGCTCTTTATGTCATGGCGCCAAGTCTCTGATCCGTATAGTGAGTAGCACTGACTGACTTCACATTGGAGTTGAAAATCCGGATGTTATTTTCTATGCTTGGTGCTGTTGACCTCCACACAGACTAGAGAGTAATGAAAGCTTGTCTTGCTTTCCCGATCCCCACTTTGGTATCCTCGTCATTTCCATCTGGCTGTAGATGGAACGATGCTTCCCAGGTAGGTAAACGAGGTTGTTTTTAGCTGATGGCAAAACCATTTAGCCAGGTTGCGTGCTTACCGAAAGTCATCAGTAAGACGTATCTACCTTCTACAATCTGACATTAATTCAGTGCAATTTTAAAGTCTCTTAGATATGTAATTGAAATTTAGATTTTCCCGTCGATTGATTGAACGGAAGTTGGCTTCTTGTGCAGATGCTTCGACGATGTCTGGGTATGTAATTAGAAGTTGATTCGTGGATGGTGACTAGCAGTGAAATCCAAGGCAAAACGCATTTCGTTCTACTTAGAACTCGTCAGCTGGATGTCCTAGTTAGATTATCTGACTACTTAACTGACAGAATCATCCAGTCAACATATCACTATGACACTGGTTACTACTCCCCTCAGTAAATAATCAGTGAAATGACATACTGTTCTTCACAAGGGTGCAGTATGTTGTGATGCTGCTGAATGTTGTATGAGGACGAAGCTATTTGTTGATGGTAGGAAGCCGTCGGCCTTGTCTGTATAGTTTGTATTTGTTGACATTTATCAGCATAGACAAGACGGGGGTTATAAATATTACCTACCAACAACAACAGCAGCAGCAACATCCAGCACCAATCACCATCAATGGAAAGGATTTGAAAGAGGTTACTTCACTCACTTATCCAGCTAGGGAGCATTGTTTCAACTACAGGAAGTCGGAATGGACGAGGATGTCAAATCGAGCGAGAGTCGGGAAGGCGAGAAACACACACATTCATCAACCTGAAACCAATCTGGAAATCTTCGTCACTCAGCCAACATCAACAACAAAATTCGGTCGGATTTTCAATACAAACGTCAAGTGAGTTCTTCTACACGGATCAGAAACTTGGCGGGCGGGCAGGTAACAAAGAATATTTCCAACAGGCTATTGCAGACATTTATCAACAACTGTCTTCGCTGGATCTACACTGAAGTTCAGATGGCCGGGCCGGAAAGAATCACCAACAAGACACTATGGGCACTAACAAACAAAACAAGAATCAATCGCCCAACAGATATGCAGGAGAAATTGGAGATGGATTGGGCACTCGTTGAGGAGACCGCTGAGTGACATCGCGCGCTCGTCAGGCCATTGCTCGAGTGGAACCCGAAAGGGAAGTGGCGAGTGGGACGTAGGTGCAACGGTGACATGGAGGAGATGGTGTGAAGAGGAGTTGGAACAGTGTGCACTAACATGGATGCAGGTGAGAAGTACAGCAGAAGGAAGACAGAAGCAGGTGGAGGGAGACGTGCAGTTGAAGCCCTATGTTTCACTTGGAACCCAAGTGAACAATAATATATATATATATATATATATATCAAATGAATGACTTTTTTACCTTCGTCCATGAGAATCATTCAGTAGTGAGAATTAATCACCGTATGATTTGTAATTTCTATTTGCCGGATATACACTTATTTGGACTTTATTGCATATATAGTAACTAAACATGTATTATGTAAGAGAGGTTCAAACAAGGGGGGAGTATATTCTGGGTCGATTCTGTTAAGTAAATATGCGCAAATAATGCATTCTCGCCTGTTTTAGGTTAGACCACGGGTTTATATCAGTTAGAGAACCATTGAAAACCACCAGAGAGTACTGAACAGCTTTTTCGCCCTAGTGTGGGACTCCTCATCGGTGCGCACCCACTGGGTTTTGAACCCAGGACCTTCCGGTTACAAGGCTCTCTAGCGACTGGCTACAGGGCGAAGTTGCCTGAAGTTCTAGCGAGAAGTCATGAATGGTGGGGTTCACCCAGTCTGGAGTGAAGATGAAGTTCGCGCTTATCACATTGGTTGGTGTTCGAGTTAAAATTCACGAATCGGTATAAGTCAGAGTTCATGGACTGATCATTGAACCAGGTCCCAATGGCTGAATGTTATATGAGCTTGCCTTGTAATCAGAAGATCCTGGGTTCGAAAAAACTTGAATGAAACAGCTGTCCAGTACTCCGTTTGTTTGGTTTTCAATGGTTCTCTAACTGATATCAATCCCTGATCTAACCTGAAACAAATAGAATCCCTACAGAAAACCACTTCTTGAACATCCCTATCTGTTTATCCTAGTGTGTTGATCCAAGGTCTCTTGTTGAAATTAATTACTTTAAATGGTTGTGTCTAGTCTCCGGACTTTCTATAATATACATGTATGTGTGTAGCAAACATAGCTAGCTATCTATAGTTGTGTATAATATTTATATATATATATATATAATGTATGTGTATCAGAGTGTTGGTCTGTTTTCTATGCACTTACCTATCTTCACAAATGCACTTATTGCTTACTTTCACTAATGTTGTGGACTTATGAACTCTTATATATCTGCACAGTTATATAATATTTTCTTTCGCTTTGATGTGAATACACCTGCGCACACATAGTTTTTGTGTATATGTATGAATATTAACAGTATTATTGTAGACTTCATACACTTATATTATGCATAATATATTTGTCATACAAGACACTGAAATCGATGTTGTTCTTGATTTGATGATGATGGTGGTGGTAATTATTATTCTCCTGTGTGTGCACCTGTTCACTAGCTTAGTTGAGAGAGAGAGAGAGACAGAAAGAGGACGGAAGAAGGCTGGATGTGCACAGTTTAACATTTTCTGGCTATATTGATTTTCTCTCTTCTTTTTGTGTGTGTGTGTGTGCGCCTTAACCGTAATATATGTGCGTAATGATTTCTATTATTATTATATTTTATGGCGAAAAGTAGCTATTATTCATTTTTGTTTATTTATTTCAGTATGCTTCTTTTCTCTCCATCTTCATATATAGAGCTAAATAAGTGTGTATACTTTAAACATTCAAAAAAGAAATCGATGTATCGATTTTTCAGACTGTTTATTATGCAATCAATATACCCACGTGCATATATATATATATATTTGTAATAAAAGATTTCTCACACCTGATTGGTTGGTTTAGTTGTAGGCAATTAATCATATGTATTTTCAATTTTGCATATGTATATGACGACTCTTATACTTAAGTAGTTTTTTGGACTTACACTTTTCAGTGAATTAATAAGGACTGAGTTATACAATTTATGATTACTACTGTATTTAAATACGAAATAATGCTTTAAAGTAGCAGCTGTCAGTAGATATCAATATTGTTGTTCATGTGTTTCAGTATTTGTCACGATAATCATGAACTTTTGATTCCGGTGTATCACAATTTATTCAGGTGTTTGCATATTTTCGTCTTGTTGAATTGTTGGTTTATTTTGTGTGTGTGTGTGACTTATTTCAAGTTTGATGTCGGATTGATATGAATTCGAGAGAACCATTGGAAACCAGCACTAGAGTAGTGGACAGCCAGCTGTGTCACCCTAGTTTAGGGACTTATCGGCAGTACGAACCAACCGTTAGGTTCCAACCCATGACCTTCCGGTTACAAGACAAACTTGTAGACCATTCATTATTTTAACTATTGATAAGGACAATTGTATTGTAGGAACCACTTTTCTGTAAAACATGTCTTCGATCGTAGGTGTTTGCGTTCTATCTTCCGTTTAAGTTGTTGGTGGTATAATAAGGTGAGGTTAGGCGTCGATTGTTAGATAAGGAGGAGAAATCAATCGATGAGGTTGTGAAGCAGCTGTATCTATTGAGTGAGATGGTTAGGACATGTGCTACGCTTGCATATCTAGCCATCGATCTCCTTCCTCAACGACGGGCAATGAGATAGGATGGATCAGACTGGAAAAGAACTGCTAGTGGTTGATGGTCAAACGAATAGATAGCTTCATCAGTTAATGAAGTCCATGAGAGTTAGTTTGAGCCAGCCAGCACGTAGGGAGGTGTACATTGGCCAGCTGGTTAGGATCCTTGGGGTGGTAAGGACCAAAGAATGATGGAGACGATTAGTGATATGGCTGAAAGTCGTCGTTGTCGATGATGGAGTAGATGCATTCATCACTCTTTTTGAGTGATTTGTGATATCGAA